GGCAGGGCGGGGGGGCAGCATCAGCACTAGCCACGTCCCCTCACAGGGCCCTCTCCCACAGCACCGGCCTTCATGTCTCCAGCCCCTGAGACCAGGGGCCTCACCCCTAGCTAAAGCTATGTCCCCAACTTCCATAGCACTGGCTCTGCCCCCTCTGATCTGCAAGCACCACCTCTGCCCAGGCCCCACCTCCTCCTGTCATGGCCCCACCCTCTTGTGCCGTTCCCCAACCCCACACCGCAAACCACAGCTCCCGCCCTTACTCTGCCCTGCCCTGCACTTAGGCCCCACCCCCTCCTGGCAGCAACCCCTCCCACAGTACTGGCCCCACCCCCTTGTGCTGCCCTCTGCCCCCACGCACTGCCCCAGCCCAGCGGGCACTCACCCAGCAACGCGGTGGCGGCAGCGAGGATGGCCAACAGGGCGGCGGTGCTGAGTCCAGGGGCGGCAGGCACAGGGGGGGCACAGGCGCGGGGGGGCCCCCGGCAGCGGCACACACGCAGGGTGAGGGTGGCTGAGCTTGTGTGTCGGGGATGGCCACCATCTGCCAGCTCCAGCCGCACCAGCAGGGGCCCTGACCCTGTGCGCCGTGGGCCCCGTGCGCCCAGCACCAGCGCTGCTGTCCCATCTGCAGGGCAGAGACATGCACACTGTCAGCAGGCAGGGCCATGGGGCATGGTACAGGGGCATGAGGGGGCGAGGCGGGGCCTCACCCTTGTTGTCCCGCACAGTGATGTCGGTGGGGCCAGGCCCTGGCACTGCCCGGATGGACACCTGCGTGGCCCCATCCTCGTCTGGGTCCAGCGCACGGATGGTCTGGATCAGCTGCAGGAGGGAGTGGGGGTGGGAGAGGGTGAACCCAGGTGTCCAAGCTCCCCCCACATCCCCTGCAGGGGACCCAGGCATCCAAGCCACCCCCCGGGGCAGACCTGTCCAGGCGCAGTGCTGGCACACACGAAGGTCTCATAGTCCGGGGCCAGCTGCGGTGCGTTGTCATTCACATCCAGAGCCTCGATGGCCACGGGCACCGGGGAGGCCTGCGACGGGCTGTCTGAGAGCAAGAGATGGGCAAGGGCACGCCAGGCACACACCACCATTCGCCAGGCATGTGCAAGGGACACACAGCATGCCAGGCGCATGCCACATACAAGGCACACCCGTGTGTCACCACACATCAGACACACACATGTAGTGACACACCAGGCACACACCAGGCACACAGCACATGTAATGATATGCCATCCATGTATAGCCACACATGCCAATATGCAGCAGGCCAGTGCCCATGATGGGCACCCAGGAGTGACATGCAGCCAACGTGCCACCCACCCCAGAGGTCCGCCAGTCCACACGTGGCCATGCCAACCAGCAGGGGGACCAACATGGGTAGCACAGACTCCCCCACCGGTCAACAAACATGCAAGCAACATGGAGTGAACATGCCAGCATCGCAGACACCAGTGACAGGCAAAGAACATATCATCACAATGAACATCATAAACAGCATGGGATCAACACAGGACAAACACCTCCCCCAACAGGCAATACATTACAACACCATTACAACACCAACATGCAACAAACGTGCCACCCACATGCAGGATGCATCAACAGCACACCAACAGGGAATGAACATGCCACCCACACACGATGGCCATACCAGCAGGCCCACAGCATGCAATGAACATGCCACCAACAGCCAGACATGCCATCACCATGCAACAAACATGGCACCCACATACCGCCACCCAGACATGCCGCCGACATTTAACATTCAATGTACACACCACACATGTGAGGGCATACCACGGGCAGGCCGGCACCCAGTGCATCATCCACCCGCCACCACAATACAATGGCCACAACATGCCACCAACACACAACAGGCACGCCACCAACACACAGACATGGAAAGGGGAGGAAGGGCCGGTGAATATGATGCCACCAAGTCAATGGGCCACGCCAGCCCCACTTGCCTCGCTCCACCTTGCCAGCCCCGTCTGCTCCTCCCCAGTCCCGCCCCCTCTCTTCTTCTGCTTTACGAGCCCCACCCCACACCAGCCTGACCCCTCTAGCCTGGTCTGCCCCCAACCCTTGGTCCCTCCCCTCCCCTTTCCATCCCACTCCTTCCTCCCCAGCCCCTTTGTCCCCACCCCAGCCCCAACCTTACCGAGCTGTGCGGCCAGCACGGTGAGGTTATGCCAGGCGCGGGCCTCACGGTCCAGCCCCCGCGCTATGCGGATGGCACCGTCCTGGGGGCCGATGTGGAAGAAGCCGTCGGGGTCCGAGTGTGGTGCAATCGAGTAGCTGCCCCGGGGGAGGGAGGGTAGGAGGGGCAGGGGTTCCATGTCTGCTTCATGGCCCCCACCTGCCCCCTGGACTCCCCCATGCCCCTCACACTCCACATTCCTGCCCCACAGCCCCCCCATGGCTCTAATGCCCCCCTCCAGCCAAGCAGTTACCGGATGGGGCTGCCAGGGACATCGGGGTCAGCAGCGCTGACCTGGCCCACCAAGGCGCCGGGCGGGCTGTCCTCAGGCAGGGCCAGGCGATAGGCCGGGCGGGCAAAGGCGGGTGGCTCATCGGCATCTTCCACAGTCACACGCACTGTGGCCACATCCTTGAAAGGGCCGTGGCGCAGGTGCTGTGGGTCTAGCTGTGTGTTGCTGGCCTCCACCCGGAAGCTGTAGGAACGGCGTGTCTCGAAGTCCAGGGGCTGCAGGACACGGGAGTCAGCCAGGAAGGGAGGGGACCCAGGCATCCGGGAGCAGAAGAGGGCCCAGGAATCCTGGGGCAGGGAAGGGGACCCAGGTGTCCAGGGACAGGGGGAACTCAGGAGTCAGGGGACAGGATAGAGACGCAGGTATCTGGGGTCAAATCCAAGGGGACAAGGAACACAGGTGTCCGGGCAGCAGGGAGGATGGGAGCTATATGGGACCCTGGCATTCAGGCAGGGCTGGGGAGGGGGGGTATTTGCAGGACCCCATTGGCCGGGTGGGGCTGGGGGCACCTGTGTGAGGGTGAGGATGCCATCCTGGCCACGGGCGTCAGTGCGTATGGTGAAGGGCCCGGCAGCACCACCATCCAGCAGCCGATAGCTGAGCTGTGCATTAGGGCCCTCGTCGGGATCCAATGCCCGCACCCGCCCCACGGCCGCCCCCGGCACTGTTGTCTCAGGCACCGAGAACTCGTATGAGCCTGTAAAGGGGGGGAGACATGGGTCAGGAACACCTGACACCCTGACCCCAAGTCCCACCCCAGAGTCCAAAGATCTGCCCAATCCCCCAGCCCTGTCCCTGGACCCCAACAACCTCTGTGACCACCCCTGGGGCCATGCACTCACTCTGTGGGAACCTAGGCGGGTTGTCGTTGACGTCGCTGAGGGTGACGGTGACGGTAACGCTCCCTGAGAGCCCACCTGCGTGGCCGCCCATGTCCTTGGCCTGGATGACAACACGTAGCTCGGGCTGGGCCTCCCGGTCCATGTTGGGCACGGCCGTGCGCACCACACCTGCAGGGCAGGGGGGGAGGGAGGGAGGGAGGGATAGATGAGGCAATGAGCCAGGGGAGGTTGCAGGGAGTGAGTGATGGATGGATGGATAGATGGATGGATGGAGCAAGCAATGGATGGATGGACAGATGGAGCAAGCAATGGATGGATGGATGGATGGATGGAAGGGAAGAGGAAGAAATGTATGCTGAGGATGAGTGGATGGCCCCTTACCCTGAGAAGGGAATGGGCACACTGTCGGCCCATCACACATGCCTGGCCTGCCCATCCATGAAGATGCTGGGGGCTGTCAAACCACCTAGAGTGACACATCAGACATAGGCATGACATGCCAAAGCATCACCCATTCATGGCCGCAACCACGGCCACCTACCCTACATGCAACAGTTGGTGACAAGAGGATGGATGGATCGATGGGATGGAGTGAGCACTGGTTAGGTGGACAGTGACGGACAGGGGGTGGGTGAATGGGTGGGTGCAATGGGCACTGCTTGATGGACTTTACTGATGTAGGCTGGACAGATGGACACCTGGAGGCTGTGAGCAGGTGGGGGTTGGGGGGACCCCGAGCTCATCAGCAACCCCTGGGGGAGGGGAGCCTCCCTGAGGGGTGCCCTGTGAGGCCTCCAGCCCATGGCCCCCACCCCGTTCCCAGCCCCTCCCTGCTCCCCCGCACCGGTCTGGGGGTCCACGGAGAAGAAGGGCAGCCCCTCGACCACAGTGTAGACCAGCTTGGCACTGTTCCCATAGGTGGGATCATCTGCATCATGGGCTGTCACCTGGATCACCGACGTCCCTGCGGGAGAGGGGTGGCCATGAGGGGCTGTTCACCTCCCTCGTGGCAGTGCCCATAGTGGTAAGGGGGAAGCTGTGGATGGGGCCGGGGGAATGGGTGCAGGGCACTCACCCACATTGCTCATCTCGGGCACAGTTGCATGGTAGGGCCCCTGGGGGAAGACGGGCGGGTTGTCGTTGATGTCCTGCACTTTGATGATGAACTCAGAGGGTGGCTCGAGGGGGCGGCCGGAGGCACGGTCCAGGGCCTGGGCCAGCAGCGTGTACTGCGCCTTCTCCTCCCGGTCCAGCGTTTTGGTCACGTGGATGTTGCCCGTGTGCTCGTCGATGACAAAGACAGTGCCGGCGCCCTCCCCTGACAGCACGTACTTGATGCGGTTTTCACCCCGATCTGCGTCTGTGTGCAGCTGTGAGGTACCCCCACCATGGTTGGGACCCAGGCATCCAGGACGCAGCCCCCCCCCCCAGTGTCCACTGAAGCATCTGGGTGCCCGATTTCCCTGCTCTCACCCAGCAGCTCCCAGTTGCCTCCCAGAATGGGGAGAGAACCCAGATGTCCGGGCTCCCAGCCACACTTCTGTCCCCCGAGAGCCCTGTGCCCAGCTCACCCTGCCGATGAGGACGGGCTCGGGGCCAGCATACTCCTCAATGACGAAGAACTGGTTCCAAACCCAGCTGCGACGGGCGCGGGGCAGGGGGTGCTCAGCCCCCCAGGGTGATGCCAGGCGCCCAGCACAGCCCCAGCCACCCAGCCAGGCCAGCAGCAGCCCCAGCAGCCCGGCCATGGCGTTCTCACAGCTTGGCTTGGCTCAGCACTGCCCCGGGGCCCCGCGGGGCTGCGCTGCCCACGGGCCCCGACGGCTACCCCATGGGCCACCTGCAGAGAGTAGGTGTCAGCAGCAGGACGGCCCCTCTGGTGCCTGCCTGCACCTGGCAGGCACCATGAGCCCATCTGTCCAGCTGCCCAGCCATCCATCCATCCATGCCTCCATCTGTCCATCCTTTCATCCACTTGCTGTCCACCCATCTATTTTCTCTTGAATTTCACCAGCCACCCACCACTCTCTCCATCCTTCTCTGCCTTCCTTTGAACCCCTCTGTGAGCCCTATTTCCCCATCCATCCATCCCCATAGCCTCCATTCACCCATCCCCCTAATTCTCAGGCCATCCCTACGTCTAGCCCCACATGCCCACTCCATCTCTCCATGCACATCCATCTCCACAACTCCCTCCTTCCATAAGAGCCCTTCATCTACCCCACCAGCCTCGTCTTCCCTTTTTCCCCTGCAGTCCCTCCATCCATCCACTGCCCCCTGGCTGGAGGCTTTTCCACCATCTGTCTGCAGAACCATCCATCCATCCCCACCGCCCCAACCCACCCGTGCCATCCCCAGCCACCCTCCATCTGTCTGGCCACATGCCTGTCCATCCGTCCAACTCCACATGCCCCGTGTGGCTGTCCGTCCGTCCATCCAGCCCCCCCAGCTGGAGACCTCTCCACCCCCAGTCTGCTCCTCTATCCACCCCGCTCCTCGTAGGCACCCTCCATCCCTC